AAATGTCCATATCACTCTACCATACAGAGGGGAGCTAAATAGTATCATTTTGAGACGTAGGCTGACATCAGCCATTAAGAGAACGTATCATGCAGCGAATCTTACCATCGTAGAGAAAACAAAACACATGCTTCACCAAAAACCTAAACACTGCATCAGTGATTACGTCACATCCCATTGTGTTTACCAATTTACATGTGTGTGTGGTCACACATACATAGGGAGGAGTAATCGAGTCATGCAATTGAGGGTGGAAGAAAATATGCCTAAATAGCTTCAAAAATAAATGAAGTGTGAAATAGTGATAAACGCTGGTCCGAGACGACCCTCTTCATCTATAGCTAAACATATCATAGAAACAGGTCACAAAGTTAATGTTCAAACAGCTTTCAAGGTCTTATATAGAAACAGTCAGTCAGGGACGTATTCTGAGATTTGCAGAAGCCATAGCCATACACAAATTTAAACCACCTTACTGTATACAAAAACAGTTTGTTATTACACTACACCTATCTTGGTAAACTTTGTTTCCCTACCAAGATTAGGACCAACTGTGTCACTTCCTGTTTGTCCTCATCTTTCTTAATTTTAATCCCCTATTGTCCTAATTGTTGTATTTATCCCCCCTCCCAGTCCTCGGTTCAATATATATTGACTTGACAAGTAAATGTGTGATCAGATTGTTCGAAATGCATTGCGCAAATACATCACATTGCTCAGATAAACTTCGTCTTCTAATTATGCTATCGAAATTCATAAAAGGAACTAACTGTTTCAAATTGGTCATTTTTTTATATACTAGGTGTTAGAAATGACTGTGGGAAAAAAAATACTGGTTAAAAAATGAAGAAGTGAAGTGACATAATAAATGTTTTGAAGTAGGATTCGTATAGGCTTAGAATATATTTTCATCTTACTTTCAATCATTACTCAATCGATCAATATCAACATAGAACCAGGGATTACTACGTAACGGTCCAAGTTGCTACAACTCATATCAGTACATCATGTTGGTCTAAAGCAGTAAAAGAAAGGATGGAAAAATTAGAAAATGTTGAATTCATGATAGCGTTAAGGATAAAGTGTGGATACATCTGCTGTACTGACATCGATTCTTAGCCATCTCACCTAGTCTTCGACCACCAGTTTCTGTTGTCACGTGGACTCCAGCCGCCTTGTTTGCATCTTCTAATATGGCTCAAACCAACAGTCAAGGACTTCATGCAGTGAAACCACAATTTAGACTGATCACCCCTCACCATTTTCCAGCCTGAATCTATTTTAGATAACATTGTTCGATGAGGTCAACACCGGTTAGGCATGTGTTACACATTTTCCATATATCTCAGTCGATGAAGACTCATAAACGCATCAACTGACCTTCCTCTCATCTTTAAAACTCTGTAATTGATATGGTGACAATACGAAAGTCGACTTTGTACGCAACATCCACTGGTTCCAACCCCGGAAGAAATAGAGAAGACTGGACTGGATAGGAGAGTTTATTCCTCCGAGAAGAATAGTCAATTCACTCAAAATCCCATGTGCATATATACATGACATATGACCTTGTTCAGAATTTGAAACATTAACACAGTAAAAGCAAGCAATCACCGAATTACCTTGAAGACGGAAATGAACTACTGACCATGCCTTAAAATTGGCGCGAAAATGACAATTAAAAATGTTTAGATCAGTTAACACTGTTTTATGCAAGTATGGGTCTTCCAATAGCCAAATACCCGAAGATCTGTCGTGTCCTCTACCTTTAATGGCTGTTTCACAGCCATGCAGTAGAGCAGAGCAAACTAAAATACAGTACACTTAACCTTTAAAAAAGACATTCAAATATCGCGGCGGCATCACACGCAGTGTAAGTTGGCAAAAGTCAACCGATCATCTATGAAAACTTTTGAAGTCCATCTAAAGTGAAAAGCTTAAACATAAATTGCCTACAAAATATATATTGCTTACATTATGTAACTAAAAAGTCTTGCACATGCAAAACGAAATCTGTAATTTTTAAGTTTATATGTAGTCAGCCCTTCCCTAATCTATTGAGTAACTGATATAACGATCTAGTCGTTAATACTGATCTAAATGTATTGGTTGAGTTTATAATAGAACCATTAAGTGATGGGACGCAGTAGTGTACTGTATTTTTGTCGGAATAAATTTTCAGTAGGAACAAAACTGGGCGGTGGATGAAGTTCTAAATTACCGGTGGAAAACCTGCTTCATATCTTCAGACACACCTCGCTGGTGAACGCCAACAAACACAAAACCAGGTCCTATCGATTACCTTCCAGAATATAACAGCACGAACCTGTACCAAGTGGGTGAGTTGCGTCACTCATTGTCTACCAGGTGCATATGCCCATATGTTCTACATCTCATAATTGCAAAGACTTTATACCTACTTCAAGTGAAAGTAGATTTCAGACCTAACAACTCATTACACGATACTGATTATTAAAAGTATTCTTACGAAATTGTCACCTCGCTGAACCTCAGTACAGTGAATGAATGAACAATAAAAGTTGAGTGTCCCTCAAGCTTTGATGTTTCATCAGCATGATGAATGGTTGATTGTTACAACAACTGCCAACCCTAACCCAAGGTTACAACTAAATATCTGAAAAGAGTTAGTCGAGACTTAAAGTTCCTTCTGGAGCATATAATTCAGTGCTTCAGAAACACGTAATTCTATACAATAACGAACACAGAAATTATAAGTGAAAGACTTTCGTAAATTCATTTCGGAGACGAAAATATCAAGACCACACTGAAGCAGGAATTCGTCAAACAGCTAAAGCATGACCACTAACCCCCAATAAGTTTGATACTATCTCAAGTCTGTTATAACAACAATGTAGAAAACGCAAATGATAATCAGGAAAAGTGGATTTTGTTTCAAACAAGACATGTCCAATCATGTTTTTCAGTTCAACGAAGAGCAGAAATAGGTCAAATGTAGATTGAACGCGAGCAGTAAAAACTAAAGAAATGAATAAGGCAGTCGTACCAACTTATTGAAGAGACTAATGTAAAAATTATAGCTGAGAAATATAAGCCAGCCACCTAGTAACAGATGAGTTGTCTAGAATAATCACCAAGATATCGACGGACGGTCCAACTGGCTGAGCGATACTTTCGTTAGTTCAATATGTAATAGTAGCGTTATTGAGACATTGACACAAGAAGTCAAGTCCTATTGAAGTTTAAAAGGCTAGGTAGTCTCAAACACGGTGGTGAAGTCCTTTACATGGTCGCCTAGGACAATTGACTAAACTGGCATAAGTACTAGTTCATGAATATGTTCGAAGGACTTACTGACTATCCATTCGTTGAAACCACTAATTGATAGTGTTCGAGAAATGAGGAATTGATTAACATGACCAAGGTAGTTTCAGAGATTTTAATTTCTGTAATCAATAACTAACTTCAGATTAAGAACAGAAAACTTAACAGAATTAGATTTCCAAACCTAGACATGTTCTCTATCAAATTCCGACCAGTACACCAACGTTAGTAACCACATGCATTTCTTAACTGGACATCATTTTAGAGGTTTTGTGTCAGTGTTGTTTGAAGCTATATACTGTAAAAACCTGTAGTCCCACTGAATTCCATGATAAGTAATTCACTGAAGAGTACTTCGAAAGGCTCGACAAACATATCTCATCTCCGCTTCCACCCACTCAAATAATAAAAGCACTTCCCTCTCATAACTTCACAATGGTCTATTACCTAATACGTTGGGTGGACCATCTAGTAGAAAATCTCATCTGACCTACAACCACACCTTAATCATCCAAGCATCCAGTTTGAACCTGAATGGGATATGGATGTCGGTTCCTCAACTTCCCTTGAACCTGGGAAGCCCGTTTCAGACCTGAAATGATGCAAAGGAGCAGAATCTGATAGTCTGTCACCGAGACAGATGACTCCAAGTGATATGAATCAGCCAATTGCCATAGCAATGACGGATTTTCATTTATGTTCATAAATATGGGTGGTAGCGATATCCGCTTTGTTGGATGGTATTTTACGACTGTCTTTTCTTATATTCTTGTTTTTTACCTCCTCACTGATGTGATGCTTGTTGTGGCAATCTGGACCAATGCACAGTCGTGACAAGTTTTATGATGTTAATGTTTGTCGATAACTATAACAGATAGGTCGCAAAATTCTCAAGTGACAATTTTGGCGTAACAGAGTGATTCCTCCAGAGTAACTACTAAGAGACCCTTGTTCACGCTCTAATATTGCGTTCCATCCCATCTTCGACGCTGAAGAATAACAAAGGATGAACATATCTTCGGATTTTCGCTAGGAATCAACTCTAATTAATCACTTGAACGCACTGCTGAGGAGTCCTATACTAGGACGAAACAGCTGTCTAGTGCTTCCAGGTTTCCATTGTTCCTCCAACTGATATCAGTCTACGATGAATACTAACTTGAAAATATTTAATCAAAACGTCTTAGTCGGTATATGTTAAAAAAGAAAACAGTCGCTCCTCCTTCAATGCATCAACTCAGAGACGATCTGCAACTTTATGCTAAGCAGAGGAAAATGCTCAAAGGAAATAGCATAGTGCAGTGCATGCATTTTATATTCTAGAGCAGGAGATTTCGAAACTAAACATATAAGCTTATTGCTCAAATCATACTGGCCAAACCCAAAAACAGCTGACAAACCTTTTCAATCTTTAAAAAATCACGGAGACACTTTTAACTTCAATATACATGTTCTGCACAAATTATGACATATCAAGAAAACATTAATCGAATTCATTGATCTAATAATAATAATTAGAGAGAAGTAATTTAGATACAAGACCACAACAGGGGGGTGGTGTAAAACAGAGGGGTTATAAGGTCAAAGTGATAAAAGAAACTCAACTGTAGTTCAAAAACGAAACAGCAACAAAAAAAACACAAGGCTTAAGTAGAGATAAGAAGTGAGAGGAGTTGGGTATACTGACAAAAACATTTTCACAAAATATAAGATAATTCATGTCGGATATATGTATGATTTTGTTCATCAGCAATACGTGGGAAGCCATATACTAAACCATCTTGATTACCAATATAAATTGTATTATACACTTTCCACATCATATCTCTAACCTTCCGAGCAGGATGGAACAAGCCCTGGAATGTATCAACAAAACACCAAAAAGAGGCATTGTTATCTACATTAGTTAACTTCAACAAGTAAGATATCAAACAAAAGACATAAAATATAAGAACTAAATAGACAGTTTATGAAGTAGAAAAGATAGCGATGCTATCTGGCTGCAAAAACCTCGGTAGGTAGAAACTGTGACTCAGTTAGTTTAAGCCAGGTACCTAATCTAATGGACTCAAAAAAGAATGCACTTACCTATGAGAAATTAAAGTATCATTTTGGTTTTTATATACAATCAATAAGGGAGTTTTTAAAAGGAATTTCTGTTTAGAAAATATACAGTCCCATTAAAAAAGTTAAAGCGGGTTTTGCAGCTTATTCTATGAAGCAAGAGAAACATATCAGTAATCACCTCCAAATAAAGGTAGGTCAGTAATGAAAGTGAAAACCAGATCCATGAAGAATTAAGACACAGTTAGTTCACCCGAGATAGAAATTACAGCTGGTACGAATATGCATGACGACAAAGAGAGAGAAGACTAGTAAACCACGATTCAACAATTTCGCGAGATTATGCTAATGAGGAAAACGGTACCACAATAAGTTTGGAGTGCTTAGTTTAAACACTAGAATTCACAAATAACGTTTCACCATTTGCTTTGTATAATTTGTTAAGAAAATACGCTGATGTAGGAAACAGAAACAGAGATCCTGATGCAGTCAACAGAGACAGGAATTAAAAATTCTGTCATTCGGTGAATATTTTCAAAATTCCGAACATATGAGAAAATAAATTCCTTTCATATAACAAAAATATTTCATCCGCACAGCACTAAGGAGATTTAGGGAAAACTATTCGTAGAGTACGGAATAATAAAATAATCGCTTCCATAAGTCCAGTATGCATTTCTTGATGCCAATACGGTTAGACAGACAAAATCAGCGTGGAACCTTGCACACACATTACTGTAGCATGCAAAAAATAAGTGGATCGAAAAAAGATTGAAATTAAGGTAGACAAAGGTGGATGAGAGGAAGACGAATTTGAAAATCACGGTTTGTGGGAATATTCAAGCTTTGGAAGACATCAAAGAGCGAATATGTCTGCATCGTTGTGACCAACATTGAACAATGCCAATAAGAGTCTCCAACCATTGATTTTTATCGTCTCGATAAGTACTAACTAGGCAGTCTACGGCTCTCTACACACTTCAAACCAATAGCAAGGCATTTCAACTAGAGCTAGGTCTTAGTCTGATTATTGTGATCCTTTTTCCAAACTGATCCATCTTCTTATAGCATTCCACATCGACTTAGGCGATGGAAAGGTATGCGAAAGATTCAAATTAAGTTGTAGACCTTTATCGATTGTCTGGTCCAGTACCCTTGTTTAACCTCAACATTGTTCACAACGATTCAACCATACGCGAGGAATACTGCAAAGGGGCTGTCCTTCGAAAACCTGCAAGCTCTTCCTACGTTCTAGTTTCAACCGACAAGCCTCGTAGCTGTATGGCAGGAGAGATCGGACTGCTGTGCAGCATACTCACCCTTTAATAGGTAGCTGGACATGTCGACAGTCGGTGTCAAATATGAAGCAAGTTCGAAATTGACAAAAATGCCTTCCGTTTCTATGCTGAGATTTCATTAACAACCGGCCTGTTCAGGCTGATACAACTCAAGTGTATTTGTTGACAAATCTAACTACTTCGCTGTTTATCGTCAAACTGAGAATACCTATTAGCAGACAAGTCCTGAAGTATCATTTTACATGTGACAGGTGCGAAAAGCATGCTAAACAGACATATTCCTGTTAAACGTGTTCAAAAAACCAAGCATCTTTTCAGGGCCCTCATCTAACAGGGCAATCTCATTTGCTTACTCTAAATCAACCACACGCCCTCCAGGCAGTGGGTCAATCTCTGTAAAGTCAGAGATACCAAAATTTATTTCCATTAACTGCTCTATGACAAAGTTGGGAATGAGCAATGAAAGCAGGCATTCCACTTGGATAGCACTAGTTGTCGGCAATCCAGATGAAAACTCCCTAGAAGCGCGCAAACGTCTGCGTGGATTCGATTAGAGAACTTGATTAGCATTATATACTTGGTCAGTACTCCAAATAGTCAGAAACAGACACACATCACAGTGGAGAGTCGGACGTTTCTTCTAGGTCAAGAAATATGGCAAGTATTAGACGCCAGCAGGTGCGCATGTTCCAGAACCTGTCGGATGGAAATTTGATCGATGCATTCCTGCCCAAGTCTGAAACCTGCCAACTCTTCTCAAGTTTCCTTTAGGTATCAGATAACTATGAACTCAAAGAACCTGCTTCTTCTGTAGTTGTAACGAGGCGACATCTCTTCCTCATAGAGCAGAATGATCAGTGAAGTAAACCAGTTTGTAACGAAACTGCCTCTGATTTTTATACACTACTTAGAACAAACGTTACCCTAATCAATAATTTCCTACCTCCATCCTGAACAACGTCCGGGGGCAAACCGCCAGGTATTACAGCTTTGCATCCTATCAGGTTCCGAACAGCCTTCTCAACTTTAGGGACAGTTGGAAGACTGACGTTCATTTCCCATTAAGGTTCGGGTCGGGTGGATGTTGGTTAACTGGTGCTGGTGTGTGGCAGTTGGAATGCGCTTCAAAGTGTCCCGCTCAATGACTTGGACTTATTAAGAAAACTGAGGTGAAAAGGTCAGCGGTTAGCGAGACTACAGCGGAGAAGGATGGGTATGCGATTCATTCGCAGGGGAGACGACTGGTTCGATGGGTAGAACACTTCGAGGAGCAGCTTAACTGGCCTTCCATCTACTGTTGCGTCGCCCAGCATTCAGTCGGAACCTGGATGGAACACTGAAATAGGCCTCCCAACACTTGCAGCAGTCAAGAAAGCGGTAGGTAACTTTAAACGAGGAAGGGCAGCGGGACCAGACGGACTAGTTTCTGAGGTGTGATGGCAGTGTTTTTAGTTTAAGTGAAATGCTAATGTATAGGAGTCAAATGTGATCCCCTATGGTTAGTTCCAACCACTGATCATCCCAGTCTTCAGGAAAGGTGAGATGTCCTCCTGTGACAACCACAGAGGAATCAGCCTGAAGAAGTAGCGTCTCCGATTCTAGGTTCTACAATCATTAGACGCCTGGGTGGAGCTCGGGAACAGCAATCCCGAGAAAACCAGGCAGGCTTTAGACCACCTGGACGTTGGTGCATCGACCAAATATTCACACTCCACCGGGTTCTGGAACACAGGCACGCTTACTGACACCCAACATTACTGCATTTCTCGACCTGAAGGCGGCGTTCGACCCCGTTGATCGAGAAGTCTTACGGCAATGTCCCTCACTGAAAGGGGTACCGCGTAAGTACATCACTCTATTGAAGGCTCTTTACTCGAACACCTACTACTTTTGACCGATTTTTCATCTTCTATCTCATCGCTTTGTTGCTTGATGTGCTGCTATAAGGTGTGACAACTTGAACCGTTATGCAGCATTGCCTGGTCTTCTGATGATGACTTGACCTAGCCGCGTGTCCTGAGGTTATCAGAGTCACCTCTTTTCCGGTGAGCCTCACTAGCCATAATCTTATTCTTGCCGGCATCCCTAATAAGCCCGAATAATTGTCGGGTATTATCATATGCTCTCTTCAACTCTTTCCATTTCGCTACCCACCACTGGGAGCGATCATTGCGAAGACTCACTCGATTTAGGTGTAAGTCGCTTTCGTCTTTAATTTTGATCAAAGGCAGCTGAAATGAGTCTCCACGCATGCATCAGTTCGGACGATGTTACAGAAATCCACTGTCGTTTAATAACAGATGTAGGTTACTGTCTTCACCGGTTTCTACAGTAGATTGGGTAACACGCCAGGTTCCCTCAAAATGAGGATTGCTGCCACTTTCAGATAAATGCTTAGGTACACCAGAAGGAGTAGCAATCTTAAGACGATGGCTTACGACAGTATATGTGTCCATCGTTGGTTTGATATCGGCGGACTTCATGCGAGACAGTGTGATTATGCTTGAAGTTAGTGCGTTTTAGAAACAAGTGATTGTCAGCAGAAACATTGCAACAGGTTATCACTATTGTCGGTCTTTTGAAATAAATTGAATCAAAACTCACTCAGCAACCTTGTGCACGTTCGTGCAGTAGGCAGTGTGTGAGGGTTAACGATTCTACCTGGTTGCTGGAACGTAGGTAGGTAGAGCGGTGTTCAGACTTGCGACTCACTGGTTGAAATTAAACTACTTAAACCAATGAACCGCAGCTCCGAAGATGCTTATCCGACCGGCTCCGATTTCTTACTGAGCGTCGAAATCATTTGCTATTATGACGGAACATTTTTTTGCATGTAACAAAGTTGACAGCCTCTGATAGAACTTACCATCTGAATTGCAGTCAGTGGGTGCGTCGGCGGAGATTATGGATAAACAATGGCAAGTCTTACGATCCTCCCTAGTTCTTACAGATCTATTCAGGCGGATAGTAGTACACAGACAGCTGTTGACTGTATCCAAATCATGGTTGTGTTGCGCTTTTTGAACTAAGAAGTTTAGCCTAAAGACTCTCATTGTCCTTCTAGACAATATCATCAGCACCAACTTCAACATCAAACTAGTTCAAAAAACGCAGCACAACCAAGGTTATCCACTGAAGTTGCTAATATTCTCCACCATTTCAAAATCGTACAAGGGTGTTCAGCTGAGAGGTGTACTTTCTGCCCAAGAGCTTGATGTTACACTTACATCAGTGAGTTCATGAGAGCTAGCTGTTGAACCTCCAAACAGCCTTATAGTGAATTCTGAAGATTCATCGTAATGGTCAGGAGAGGTCAAATGAATGACCATACTCAGACGCTGTATACGTGTCTAAGAAAAAAGTATACATCCATGGTTCGAGATTTCAGAGTTCTGGCGACCGATCGCTCTCTGATTTCGCATAGGGTTTAGACGTGTTAATTCCTGAGTGAAAGTTTGAGGGAGTTGTAGCAGGGTTAATTTTGGTATCAGAAAGCGAAGGTTAGAGAGGGGTAAAGAAAGTTAAGGAGGGTAGGGTGGTACTTTCCAGTTGCCCATACCGTGAAAATTGTTTATGTAGGGTACCTGGAAGAGAAAAATTAGAAGGATTACGCAACCACATAGCGCATCTGCTTGATGCTTGTCTCATAACCTTTTCCAGATTTTTAGTTTGAGATTGGATTATGGAGTTGTGATGACGGCTGACACTTTCTAGCTGCCCATATCGTAGAAGATTACTTCTTCCCGAGGTACCTAGAAAAAATTGGGTTAGTAATAATGGCGCATGATCGCAGAGTCCAATGGATATCTGCTTGAGGTCGAATACATACGGTCGTTTTTGAAGTTCAACACTTTAACTTTCTTTGAACCTATATCGTCAGCACCGGTGTGCTGTGGGACAGAAGGGAGTGTTATTTTTAGGGTCGATCTTTTTCAACCCCCTTTCCCACCGGGAAGGAAGCGTCAGCATGGTACCTACTGATTGTCAACAAGCAACACCTTACTACTGTCACACCCGTGCAGTCAGCAGCACAGTATGACAAATATTTCATTTGTTAGTATGAAGAACCCATAGTCTCCTGAAGAAAGGATTTACGCAGTGGTCTAAATCTAAATCTTTAAAAAAATTCCCCGATTACTTAATCTGTCATGATGCATGTCACGCAACCCAATAACCTAAGGCCAGTTTATTTATAATCTATGAGCTATGCGTAACTGTGTGAGGAACTGAAATAGCACATTAATACTCAGAGCAATATAGGTAGACCGATGGTTGGACCCAGAATTCATTTGTCTGTAAGTGAAATGTCTAAGTTGATGGGTCATACCCTCAACGTTATAGGAATGCGTGAATGGTCTTGTACAACTGTAAGAAATTCACCGAGAGAAACAAATGTTAAAGAATTTGTTGTTTAGTAATTTGACACAAACTTACTTGAAGACAATACTGGAGTATTTTATTAGGGCCAAGTGCGACACGAAGTCCTTCAATGCAAAACATGAAAGCCTGTATAACATGTGGAGATGTTTCCAAAACATTTGGCCAAACAATATTTAATAGATGCAGAAGAGCATCCTCACAGCCAAAGCCATATACACCCAAGGCCATATGAGCAACAGCGGTCATTGCAGTTTGTCTATGCACAAGATCCCTAGAAAAAGAAAACAAATTAGCATACCACATCGAAGGTGGCGAGGACACGAAATTGAAATGATGCTTACCGGTCCATTAGGGCATCTTCTAATAGAGGTGTTACAGCGTATATATAGTCTTTGCTCATTTCCCCAATATATTCGAACATAAAAGCCAAGGACTTCAGGACACCATTTTGAACGTTTAGTTCTGGGACTCTATATTCGTTCATAAGACCGGGTAAAACAGTAAATGGGCTACACGTTTCCGCAACAATAGCAATGGCGACAGTAGTACAGACACGATTTTGACGTTCTTGTACCTTGAACGAAAAATGTGGAAATCAAGATGACACCATGATAACAGACTGCAAAATATGACACACTGTATACATATCTTCCTAATAAAATTACCATCCAGGTAAATTTAATCAGAATGTGTATAATAATGTTGCGTGCATCAACGACCTTTTAAGTGCGAGAACCTAACTGAAGAATGGATATGGCAACTTTACACAGTTTTATGATTCATCAGTTGAGAGACCAAACACATTTCATCCAACTTAATATAAACCACTAGAGCGAAGCATTGAGTTTATACAAACGATGCAGTACACAAACAGGTACACAAGCATGTCGTTATCCAGATAAGAGAGACAGATCAACGTAAAATCTGGGACAGGTATATCACTTCAAGTTATCACACCTCACAGAAGCTTGAACAGAAAAAAATATCATATAGAAGTAGGCAAAAGTATGATAGGCAAGAGAATAAACAGAAGTTACACATCAACCCGTTGACCTACAGTGTACATCTCTTGCGTGTAGTCTAGTATTGTTCACAGCCATCCATCACCACCCTATCACATTGAGTTCCACTTTCAGAACTCGTGTAGGAGAAAGTGATAACTCTCATGTTCTCAGTCCAGTTCACTATAGCTGGACAATAAATTAACTCACTAAATCACAATTAAGTATTGATACTGATAACTCCCCATTGTTATTCTGGATCGAACTGATCAACATCTTGTTGGGATATAGACTTCTATGCTGATGCTTTTATATTGCCTGATTATTCATTGGGTTGTAACCTGCTTGATGATGGATAGGAGTGGAATCTAGAAGGCGCGTGGAACACAGGTGGTTTCCGTGCTCCAGTGGGGCGACGGATGTTAGGCTAGAGTCTCAGCGGGAACATCATTCACTAGGGTGCAAGCACGTTCAGCTGATGAGTCCCAAACAGGACGAAATGAGTGTCCTGGATTCCGCTGTTAGCAGCCACCAAGCAGGTCAAACTACTAAATCATAATTCATCTAACTAGTATACAAAATGTTTCTGAAATCAATGGTTATGCACAAATACAACAATGTGAATATGACTATTGTCATAAAAAACAAAGAATTCATTACGAATATTTCTTCTTGAAGGAAATAGTTTCAATCGTTGAGGGCTTCTGCAAACAATTTTCAAATCCTTTATTGTTTAACTTTTTGTAAATTATGCTATTCAAATCTCCAGTTTCCCACTACTTCTCTCCCACATAGACTTTAATTTATACAGTACGCAAATGCTCCATCAAGAACAGTGTAACTCTGAATATATAGGGGTGAGGTCGTTTCTGATATGCATCTTCATTTTGAAGTACTATAAACGACTGAATTCTACTCCGCTGATTTCATCCCACGAATAACTTGGGACTAAGTCATGTCAACTTCCCAACTCTGAATCATTATTTATTCTCGTTTGTTTGTGCACCTTCACCCAATAATTTTTCTCTTTTCAAGCAAAGATGTACGTTATTGATTACAAACTTATAAACATTCCTTCATAACTGACCTTTAGGTTATTCAACAGTGTTGCCAATACATCATGTGGACCGATCGCCTTGGCAATGTAACCGAAGGTATTCACCGTTGCTCGTCGAATTGATTTTTTGTGTGCTTTTAGCAATTCCAGAAGCTCGAAACATATACGCATCCACTCTCTGGAAGAGACATACTCTGAACCACGATCTGCTATTCGTCCAACAAGATCAATACAGTTCTCTTCCACCTTTTCATGTCTAAAATACAGAGAAGTGAAAAATTAGAATACATGGTCAGTAGCCCATGGAAAAGTAATCATTAGAGCAGGTCAATGTTTAAAAAATTCATGGACTGGTGCCAATTATTGGTATGATCACTTTTAGCCTTCTTTCCACCCAATCCTACCATCACTTCTTGAGGCAAGCAGTGGTACGCCATGCGCAATACATCCTCAAGCCATCTCGGTCGGTGAAGGCTTACAACCTTGCTTAGTACTCTGAGCTTATTATTAGGAATCCTTGTAGTTCGGTATCCATACTCATATAACCAATAAATTGTTGCCGAAACGTCATCTAGTAAACAATACAGTTTGACTGTAAGACATTCAATAAACTAACTAAAATAGAAGCTAGAGGTGCCTAAGGTTACATCTACAATGAAGTGCAATAAAAATGATGGTGGATATTCTTGGCTGACAGAAGAAAAAATGCATTCATCAACCTGGTGGGCGTTCATGCAGTAGGGAATGAGCCACATACCTATTGTGAGGGCTAATGCTACTATCTGGCTACCTGAACATCGGTAGGTGGGGGGAAGATCGAACCGGTAACCCATCGGTCAAAAGACAGCTTCCTAAACAAATGAGCCACAGCCCAATCAACGGAAAAAAACCCGGGTGAGTCTTAGAACTCTCGATACATTATGCGCATGTTTCTTTTTAAAGGCTGGAATAGGTTTGATTATTGACTAGTTGTCAATTAACAGTAGAGTAAATAAACTTTCTCCAAGTACGGGTAAGTAGATAAATTGTTTGAAAGTAAAGGCAACATACTTTGAGCTCTTTTTTGATAGCACAAAAGTAAGCTAGTGTGTCGTTCACTTATCCTACCCTAACTGAAATGATAGAAACTCGGTGATCACCACATATTGCTAATTTTGTTATATGGCAGTTGATTATTGGAGAGAAAAGGTTACATGACAGTTGCGAATAATTATTATAATCAATCAATTGTATGGGGTAGGTAGTTAACAATGGAAACAAACCTGTTTTTCAATATTGGTGTTAACCTAGGAAGTAATTCTTTTATTGGAGGAGTCATTTTGGTCATGCCAATAACGTTAACAATGGCCTTTAGTGCACCTAAAATACTACCAAGCACTTCCGGATATTCTTCGCCAAGATACTCGTACAAAACAACACCCAAATGTCCCATTAGTTTTTCTTCTTGACAAACTTTCATTACACCAGCAATGCGGCTTATGAGATCCGCTGCCTGTTGACGAACTTTAGCCGATTTGTTATTGAGACGCCATAAGATTGTACCACATATCTGAGGTAGGTACGGTTTAACACGCTTTCCAAGAGACTGTACAATGGTACCGAAGCCAGTCAACATAACGGCATCCTGAATAAAAAGAAATAATCATTAGCATCTAGTGTCAAAACGTGTGGCATTCCAAATAAGATGGTACGGGAAATTATCTCAGTTCGCTACATCTTGAAACACTATATTACAAATGCGAAAACTGTAAATAATTCACTGCGAACAAACCAGTAAAGAAATTGGTCGATGTCAACACAAGAAGTGTTTTTTAGCTCTCTCGCTGAAAATGAAGCAGAAGGTTGACTAGAAACTGAATTAACTTTCACTTTAGAAAAAAAGTTTGGCACAGAATCGATAAAAGCAGCTGGGTTAAAATATGCGTACTATAAATAGATTGAACTTAATTAATTAATTTATTTAGTTCACACTGATTCACATTAACATGAAAAGTATGCGATTTAACGTAAGAATATTTTCATGTTTATCTGTACGATTACGAAAATATCCACGAGTAACTCACTTCTGTACTTTGTTCCTGAAAAGCATAAAGTATCCCATCGATTAACTGTTCTTCAAGTCGAGCATCAACTTCTGTACTTCCTAATGCTGACATCACTTTTTCTATGGTCTCCATCACCATTTTACGATAGGGTTCGGATTCATCTTTTAGATCGTCCACAATTCTGGAAATTATGTCAGCAGCACCAACCTTGTTTGCGATCTCCACGGTTGTATCGACCAACTAAGCAGGAGTAGAAAAGAAATAAAATAAATATTACCCAGTTTACTGCAAGCACTTAGTTTTATACAAATTGTGAATTATGTTAGAAATATCAAAACGTAGTGTTACACTGAAACTAATAATATGGTGTTGACATGAGGCTATAGAAGTCAACGAAACATACAAGAATATGACACCGTTTCTGTGATGATAATAATGCTTTCAACAAGTGACCATTTATCAGTCCAGATGACAGACACCCTGCCAAGAAACAACTTAGCTTATTATGCGATATGTTCTTCTCGCAGCTAAGTAGATATCTATCGATAATAAAAAGTATCTACCGATAATAAAAGCACTTTTATGGTGCAATCTAAGTTACAGAGGGTAACTTTAAAACGACGACAGATTGATTCCACTTAAAGTTAACGAAAGCAGATTCAGGGTTTTCTTCGTAAGAATACCTAATAAAGTGGACGCGTATACCACTAGTGGACAAAAAAAGATAGATAAAACATATGATGTATTATGCTTGCTAGAAAGCAATAATTATAATGACTTACACCTGGATGCGAGGTAGTGAATGTACATATACAAAACAATCCAGTTAACTACAAAATCATAAAGTCATAAGGTTTCTCACAATGAGCTTCCCTATTTTCTTTTAGAATATAACAACCAACTGCATGAAATCCTACTAATTTTGGTAGCTTTTAAAAACATTCAGCAAAAACACGCATGATTAAACGTATATAGACCTTGGGTTATGAATATTGACTGGGTTTTTTTCTCAGTTCAGTGTGCTTATCACGAGGATACTCTTGACTCTAGCGCATTGTACCACTCGGCCACCCTTACGTGGTGTCACTACTTCCGTAACGCAGAAGTCAGGTGTCCAGTTTTAAGGAGGAGGAAAGTCAGTTGATAAGGCAGTGAACCTTCACCGACTGAGAAGGCTGAAAAATGTGTTACGTATGCACCTAACCACCATCCGCTTCGTCGCCTAATGTTAGCTGAGGTAGGTTCAAGCTGGGAAAAAGGGGCGGGGTATCAATGCATGAAGTCCCTGACTGTTCGTTTGAGACATATAGGGTGGTGCAGACTAGCCGGTTGGGGTCCGCGGGACACGAGAAACCGATGGTTGCATACTCTATGCGATATGGCTGAGAACCGATGTCAGTGGTGTAGATGTATACACATATTATCTTCATCCTAACCGCTATACTTGATCATTATCTCATCCCTTCTTCTCTTTCGCTACTTCCAACTTCGTTTGACTGATTTTTTTTCTTCATCCTTCATCTTACCTCTTTGTTAATTGATGTGCTGATATGAGACGTGGTAACCGTTGTGCAGCATTGACTGGTCCTATGTTGATACTGACCGATTGACTATCGTAAGAATGAATCACACAGTCATTTAAGCCGTTTTTGACATTTAACGCTTAGTACCGATATACATTAATATTTTCTGTTTCATGCAGTCATCTATGGTTCTTCTACCGAATGAAGATTTAATTATAAAACTTTTGTAGGAGAAGGAACATAAATTAAATGACAGAATTTACCTGTCGGTAGTTACGACGATCAAGAGCCATACGCTGCGTCCAAAAGCTGCGGAAAAACGGTGGTAAGATTTCTGACTTGATATAATCAGGTTCCACACCATCTGTAGCACAACATTGTTTGACAACTTTAAGGACAATTTTCTTCATTTCTTCATCAGGTGACTGGAATTCACGGATTAAGATCAACATAACCTCACGAGTATAATAGTTAGCATATTCCGCATCCATAAGAGGGATAAGATAGCCAATAGCTTTTAAGAATGCAGCTAAACCTTTACCTCGATGAGTTCTTATGCCACGCCATAAGGGTTCCAAAACTGAGTCAAAGGATTCTATGCCATAAGGAGTAGCTGCTTCGGCAAGAGCAGCCAAAGCCAATGCTGTAATAGTTCTGACTTTTTGTTGTTCATCAACCAAACCATGCTCGATAATTTCAACCAAAGATCGTAGATGAGGCAATATCGCACACCCCATAAGAATTGATATTTGCTGAACAATTTTTATTCCAGTATGTCTGGCCTGCCAAGACTTTTTTGATTTGCAGACAGCCTTCAAAAAGGGTAATAAACTTGGTATACCCAAGGCGGAGGCGACTACAGCGAAAGCTCTTGCAGTTGTATTACGCACGTATTCATCCATGTTATCAATATCAGGACGCATAGTAGAGATCATAGTGGCCAGACCAGCAGCCTGTCAAAAGACAAAGAAAATGCTAACTAGAAAGATTTGTTCGAGATATTATATGCAGTAAAGAATGAAGTTATACTTTTAGGAAAACAGGTGGTATTTTTAGAAACCTCGAAGAATTATATTATTTGCTGATTAATTCCTGGGTTGTATACAGTTCCCCATAAATCTTATTTCACACGACTAGAATTTGAGCAATTTCAACTGATTTTGTGAGAAGTACTACTTAGATAGTGGAAACCTTTGTCTGCTTCAAAGGAAGAAGCCGTAATAACTTATTGTAATGTAACCGGTGACTATACAAGGAAAACCTACCTTTTACAAGCTACAAAATATCAACAATATTAGAATTCATAATCCTCGATCTGACAAGATCCAGTATTATTTATGATAAGCTTTTATACTTTTGATCCTACTGGTTATACCAAAGTATAACTCATTGGTGTAGGGAGTTCAGACTGAAATACCTATTGCCGAACTGATTCCATTATCTGATAAAGTAGTCACCTTTTTAAACGTGTCTTGAATAAATAACCTCTTATAATACTTATCAAAACAGACCTTCATTAATCTGAATTCAGTGTGGAGATCTACTCCACTGGGCTCAGCATAAAGTGTGGAAAAGATCTGGATTTTCAACACTAATTCAGTCAAGTCAATGCTTCTATATGGTTCAGAAACTTGGCGCGTTACGAAAAGCATTTCCAACAAACTACAGACATACATCATCAACAGCTGCTGCCTACACTCGATACTGACACTGAAGATCAGACGGCCAGAAAGAATAAGCAACAAGGAACTCTGGCTGGTGACGAACCAACCAAGAACCTGTCGCCCAACAAATATGCAGAAAGCAGAGGTAGATTGAATTGAGGATACATGCGCCAGGCCAGGCTATCGAGTGGAACCCAGATGGGAAGCGACGAGTTGGGCGACCGAGGGTAACATGGAAGAGATCATGTAAAGAAGAAATGAAAGCTTACGGGCAGTCGTGAAGTCAGGTTGAAAAGGCTGCAGAGAAAAGAGTGAAATGGCGACGTGCCACTGAAGTCCTATGTCCCACTAGGAACCCAAGGGACAAATAATAACAAATAATACTCATTCAATTCACTTATTTTCTTATGTACTACCTTTATCAACTGATACAATCAATTGTATCAACGCAGCCACAAAGTTTATCCGGAAAATCCGGTCTCATATCGCACTGAGTACATTTAATTATCGGCTCAATTAACTAGCGAACCTTGTGGAGGAAGTGACTAACCATATATGCTACCTCCGATATTCCGTGCAGAAACTGAAAAACCAATACACTAGCATTCAACTATTCTTGATAAAGCTTACTTTAGCTAGATTTGAAATTATTTCTCTGCCCTCAACACGAGCATAATAATCTTCGTCAATGAGAAGAGGTTCAATAACCACCAAAATTTTGTGCACATACGGACGGACGAGATCATCCAATTTATATAAGATGCGATCAATGACCTATTAGGAATCAAAATAGAAACAAACAAAAAGGACTTGTAGTGTTTGTTTCTGCTTATTAAAAAGATATATCAAATGACAGAACACCATCCCTTGTATCAAACCCAAATTGGACATAAAGTGCAGTTTACTCTATAGGATAGTTACAAAAGATAAAAACATCAAAATAGAACTATAAAATTACATGAAACAGTACAAAAAGTCAAATTTGTGTGACTGTTTAAATTTCTTGAAGCAAACTCATGGATTGACTGCATCTACGATACAGGATCCAACATAGATACGGATGCCTTTACTGTGTATCTTCAGGATATCTTACAGAAAATTTACGCCAGTTTATAGACAATTGTTAGCAACTTCATAACTTGTCTCAGGATTGAACACTAAGATTTTTTACAGACAAGATACATCACAGCTTTTATTCATGATTCTTAGTCCGGTTTGTTACTCAGTATATGAAGCAACCTGTTGTCCTCTCACATTTAAGAGGACGTATGTAATCCAATTCAAATTTAGATGCTACACAAAACTTCTAGAAAAACAGAGTAGTTAGGAAAGCAAGATAAAGGTTTCACCTTATAGCTGCAGGAATAAGTAGATCTTACTAGCTGGGAATCCTGTGTCACATACTGGTTTTTCACAATGCGTAAGAGAACAATTAGAAAAACTGTTATGAAACCTAATAAGCACCTGATTAGACAAACCAACTACGTGTACATGATCAAATAAGTAGAGTTTTTAAGAGATTTTGTTTGGTAGAGCTGTTATCATGGATCACAAACACTATCATGAGTATCCTATCCTTCATATGTTAGGGATAACATAGTTTTTTTAAATAAAAATATGTGATCACACGTAAACGAAGTATGAAGTTAGATGGTAACGAAAATCAACCACACATATCACTGCTTTACATGACTTTTTGAGCATGACACAATACGTAGCACGAAGCTTAGGAGTCAGCAGTTACTTGTGGTAAACTGATCCTGTACTTAATATACACTATAAATATAGAGAACACTGACAAGCCATAACATCATCCTAAAAGCGATGGAAAACTCCGTTGCATTATTTTTTATTTGAGGATGGAAGAGAAAAAGTGAAGACAAAAATATTGGAAGTACTGGGAATATACTGTAAGGTCGGAATATTGAAAAAGTCAAATCTACCTTGACCAACAAATGTCGCTCCTGATCCTCCAAAGTTGGGGACATCAGAAGTGGTAATATTTGCTTGAATAAAGGTCCCGCACCAAACTCCCTCGCTTTGTCAGTTATTTGTCTTAAAGCTGACTTACGCATTGGGGAGTACCGTTTTTAATTTTGAGCAAAAATGTCATTATTTTGCGTTCACGTGCTTCTTCAAGTGGGAGGGCATCTTCATCAACATCCTGAAACAAAATTGAAACAATGTGACCATTTGCATTAACTTGTGTAATCAATATTGAGTTGGAATCGATCACAATAATGCAAATAAATTTATAACTTATATTTTTATTTTAATTACTATGTCCTGTTTCGCTGTTCATTTGATTACTCTCTTTCCTTACGGCTTACTGAAGCTTTTGAGTGGTCCACCATTTGCATCTTTTAACCTCAATCTGTTTTCCGCCTTGATGGGCTGGTATGAGGTGTGGCACTTAGTAGTAATACATCCTAGGTGATGTCTTTGTGCATGATGAATATTCTGCAAATTAGTGTTAACAGACTAGGTGTGAAATGTGGCTGACTGGTTTAGGCAGTTAACTAACTAATAAGTAATGAGTTTGAACACCGATCCATCTGACGAGGTCTGAGAGGAATCAGGTGGTAAATATCGTTACCCTTTACACAATAGGTGTGGCTCATTCACAGACAAACTGAATCAACGCAGAACCTTGCATATACGTGTATCGGCTCACAGCTTGCTGCACAAATATGCATAAGGTTGTTGAGTGCCATTTGATGTAGGAGCGGGTAGGCGTAGTGTCTATAGTGAAATAACTTGTACTCAGTGTTCACTGTTTTTTCTAGAAAGAATCTTATTCACATATTGAAAAATGACTACACCTTTACGGTTTAGAAACAAGTTAATGATGCATACACTGGTTTAATGTGTTGATGCAAAACAGGATTACGATGATCAACAGAATACCCCTATGAACGTTATTTCGCTACACCCCAACTACTACTTAGATGTACTTTTTCCAAAATCCCAACGATCCGTGATGAAGAGTAGATGCAAGCACAAGCCGCTATTAATCCTAACAGTTTTATGGGCGCCACTGTAAGAAATGAACAGGCATTTTAGACCTAACATGTTTGTTTTCATGAGGGACTTGGTGAAAACGTACAATCCACATAAACACGTCATGTGATTTAAGAAAACCGTAGTAATTATAACCAGCAGTGGCATTCACTCACTACTGTCACCAAAGAAGGACGTAAGAACGAATCGACCACATATTCCAGAAATCTGAATAAACTATTTTTTTTTATACCTTTACACATATATTATATGAGAAAATATCTATAAACATACAAAATGACCATCTGGTAAAGGAATCAACTCTACAACGGTGTGATTAAAGCTGGGGATCTACTCACTTGTAATAGCTTATCAAAATATTGAAGATCATCTGGTCTCATCATTGGCAGGTTTGTTCCTTTCGGTTGCATATCACCGAGAGCTGCAGCATTGCCTCCAGTGGCGTTCATACCAAATCCAGCTGTCGTTCCAATATCAGGTGTGCCGATTCTAAAGCCCATTGGAGTACCACCGATCATCGGAGTAGGCGTTGCTACTAACCGGTGAGCAGGTGTCCTGATTGGGACATAACCGGCAGGCGGTGGCATAATTTTGTAGCCTGTAGGAAAAAATGAAGTGTCATGCCGATATTTGTAGACAAAGAAACCTGATTGCACATGTCTAGAAAAATCAGCGTAACTGAGATCAGTAAAAATGACAACAAATGACTATTGCACCCAAGATAGTTGACATGGTACAGAAAAAACTAAGCAACACGTATTAAGCCTGTAAGTACCAGAAATACTGTTAAACCGAATGGCTTAAACAAAATGCCCAGGGAAAAAATTGCCTGTGAAGTTAGACGAACAGAAAACGGAAACGAAATCTCGATGAAATGACTCATTAACTAATCGACAATTTGTCCCGCTTCCAGTTTGCTTAATTCTTTGCATACAGTGAAATGAATTCTATAAACTTAAACATCAACAGACCTTACAGCTCTGCCAACATTCGTTTTCCCCCAGATCAGTGTTTAACTCCCACATCTTTCTCTTATCTTTCTCCATATTTCTCGGTCATTAATCCTATATCATCTCTGATTTCTTCCAGCTCCACAGCTCTTGATAAACACTTAAGATCGCGGAAACGGCATCCCTGGCCTTCCTCAAACCGTGCTCAAAACTACACATTAAAGCTCTCCGTAGAAGCTTCATTAGCTAAAACTCTAGCATCTTGGACCATGGATGTGCTGTGTTTGAGACATACATACGGGACCCGAGTATGGCTATCAATTTGACATCACCCGGCCAGTTCGGTGAATCTTCAAAATTTACCCTACAGGTATTTAGAGATCCAGAGGCTAGCTCTCGTGGACTCGTTGGTGTAGGCATAACATTGAGGTGTACAGCAGAAAGTGTGCTTCTCGACTGTATACCAGTTAACGGTTCACTACGTGCTGTTCGATTGAGTGGATGTGTAACGACTAAAAAGGATTGTGAGACCAACAGATGCCTATTCGTTATCTCCATCTACGCACCCACCGACTGGACTTTAAGTGATGCAAAAGATAAATTCTATGGAAAACTGTTAATTTTGCTACAGAGAGCAAAGCTTTCAGATGTAGTCATAATGGTAAGTGACTTTTAACGTTCAGGTAGGGAAGTTGAGCCAATCAGAAAGGGATCTGGAAGGTATTTATGGAATCCCATGTCAAAGATTCGACAACGGCGACTATCTGTTGCAGTTTTGTTCCAAAAATCACTTTTTTTTTGACCAGCACTAACTTTAAACGTCCGCCGACTTTAAGAGAACTGCTGCTGTTTCTGGAACTTCTGTTTGGACACCGATCACGCACTGGCATGGGCTTGCGTATGTCTGCGCCTTACTGGTCGCAGGAAACAGGTGATAGTAAGGGCAGTTTATGCTCGAGTGAAAAATGAGGACGCCAAATACGTATTTTTGGAGGAGTCAGCTAAGCATTTGTCTGAACATGAGAAATTCTGATCCTGAAGAAAGTTGGCGTCATATTAAGTCTGCTGTATAAACAGCAGTAAAGACAGTTGGTAACCTAAACCAGAAAGTTACCAAACTTCACTGGATTTCAGCGACTGTTGTGGGAAGATTGACTCCAGCTGGCTCTAACCACAATGACGAGCGAAACCAACTTAAACATGAATTGATCAAGAGCCGTTCTTTGTTTACTATTGTGAAGTGTGGTAAGGTAAGTCGATGCTTCTGTGTGCGAGGTCCTACGCTGATTCTGTCTGTATGGTTGAGGACTAAATGAAATGGTTGAGACTCGGTCACAGTGGCGCAGATGTATTCACTCTTTGACGTCTTCCGAAGCCTGAATATTTATCCTAACCTTTATCTTCAAATTGTTAATTCTCTCATTCACTTTCCTCGAATTTGATTTCAATCTTTTTCGATCCAGATGTTCTTTGGATGCTACTATTAAGTGTGACAACTGAAGCCAATGCCTTTCTGTGCGAGGTTCTGAATTGATTTGTTTTTCTGCCTCTGTAGGTGATGTTAGTGCTCAAGTGGACACGCTAAGTCAGACAAAAAGGTACTTAGGTGGCAGTACCAGAGGTAGCTGTGGACTACTGGTCAAGTAGGAGAATATGATGTGATCCACTCTGACCCATTGCAATCAGCGATTGTACTTACCTTCAAAAAGAGAGACCCCCTAGGATAACCACACGAGAATATAGGCTTTAAGACTCATTATCAGATGCCTTAGTGTAGCTCAGGAACAGCAAACCCGTGGAAACCAAGCAAGTTTCAAACTTAGTGGTGTGCGGACCAAATACTAACCCTCCCCCAGGTTTTGAAACTCAAGCAAACATATCAGCACCCAACACTAACTTTATTTCTTGACCTGATGGCATCTGACTTCATTGATCTATTGGCCTTATGGCGGCTTCTGTCATTCAAAGGGGTACCAAGTAAGTATATCGCAGTTGAGGTTTCTGTAGTCTAATGCCTGTGAGCGTGTCAGAGCTTATATTGAGTCACCAAATACCTCATGTCGAAATTGATGATGAGTTGTGTACGTCAAGTGGTGTCCACCAAGACCCATTCCTATTCAATTTTGACACGGGGGTCTCCTCGTTGCTTAACTACAGAGAATGATCTTACCATAGGGGGCGTCTTAGTAGTAAGCAGATAACAGTCCTGTTAGGTGAAAACGCTGGTAAGATGCAAAGTTTTATGCATGAACGAAGTCTACTTAGCAACATTTCGCACATTCGTGCAGTAGGTAATGAACCACACCCATTGTGTGAGTGCTAATGATACTGCCTAGTTTCCCAAATCTTGGTAGGTGGAGCGGTACTCGAACCCGTGACGCATTGGTTGAAGATAAACTTCCTACGCCAACGAGCCACAACTCCACGTAGTTTATTGGACAGTGAGAATATCTGGGATGTATTGCTCACCACTCAAATACAAATTGATATCCCATGACTAGTCACTCGCTGGTGCTAGGTAATAATAGGAAATGAGATGGCTGAGCGTGTCGAGGCAAAATTAGAGTAGAACCTCGCACAGAAAGGTATTGGCTTCAGTTGTCACACTTAATAGTAGCATCCAAGGGACATCTGGATCGAAAAAGATTGAAATCAAAGTAGAGGAAGGTGAATGAGAGAATTAACAATTTGAAGATAAAGGTTAGGATAAATATTCAGGCTTCGGAAGACGTCAAAGAGTGAATACATCTGCGCCACTGTGACCGGGTTTCAGCCGTTTCGCCATGAGTCCCGGACCATTGATTTCTATCGTTTCGGGGACGTCAACCAGGGAGCCCACACCTCTCTACCTGGTTAACCACTTCACTTACTTAAGAAGTAGGATCAAGACTGGTGGGTTAGTGGCCGACAAAATCTCTGCATGCACACAAAAGACTTGTTTGGTTTTCCCAACCTACGTCAACTGCGGCAACGCCATGACATCTGACTGCCTATTAAGGGTCAAGTGAACTGCTTCATTTCGCTGTTTTACTGATTGGCTGTGAAATATGGTCATCAAAGGTAGAGGATATGAGAAGACTTCAGGCATTTGTTTTCGCATCATAGGCGGTGTGTCCCCATGTCAGTGATGCAGAAGTAAGGTGCAGAGTTTCAGGGAGAGGAGAGTCAGTGGATGAGGTTGTGAACCCTCTTCAACGGCCCAGGTAGCTGGGACGTGTTACACAGGTCTATTCACCATCGGTATTATCGCACAATGATGGCTGAACTAGGTTCAGGCCGTTAGATGGCCAGAGGTGAATAAAGTATAACACTGCACTAGTGGGTGAAGTTGTTAACTGTTAGTCTGAGTTACGTTCGGTGTAGGCTCCCTGGTTGGGTCCGCGTGACATCCATCAGTGGTTGGGAACTCCCAGTGACATGGCGCAAAATCGATGTGACGCGGATGTATCCATACATACCCTTAATTTACACATGGAATCTCATTGCCGTTCCACTTCTTCTTGCTCCTTTTTCGGAAGTTTGAGATTTTAGTTTATTTGCTTCGAATCCAAGCGTGAACCAATACCACTAGCACTGGAAAACCACAGAGTAGGGGACTGTGTTATTTCAGGGACGACTGCTTGATTGAATGACAAAATCAATGTAGAACTTCGCACACAGATGTATCGGCTTACGTTGCCACACTTTACAGTAGTAAACAAAAAACAATGTATAGAAAAGGAATGATATCAGAGTAGACAAAGTAGTGAGAGAGAACAAACAACCTGAAGATAAAGATTAGTGCAAATATTTAAGCTTTAGAAGACATCAAAAAGTTATATCTATGCCATTGTGACCGATCTTCAGTGATGTCGCCAAGATCCCCTTACCACTGGCTTCTTTCGTCTTGGAGACTCCAATCAGGCAATCTACATCGCCGCATACGACTCAGAGCAGCAGTAAGAGACTTCATCAACTGGTGCTATGTCTTAGTCTGGTCACTCTGAACCAGCTTCCCCTAGCATGGTACATAGACGTAGGTGGTCGCTCGGCATGCGCAGTACATGTCTAAGCTATTTCAATCGACTTATTAATCCTGCCCAGTCCCCTTCGCCTGACCTCAACAATTCTTGCACGGTGATCCCATCAAACGCGAGCAATGCTGAGAAGATATGTGATTGAAACCCTATAACTGTTTCATGTCTTTTACTTTTAACGACCATGTCACCTCTGTACGACAAGACAGAACAGACTGCAGGGTAGTATACTCGTTTTTTTGATAGGTAGTCAGATATCAGCTGGCGCCACAGCTGACAAGCGGGCAAACGCCAAACTAATCCTCTGTATCTGAGTTGAGATTTCGTCAGCAACCAGCCTGTCCAGGCTGATGCAACTCCCCAAGTGAAGTGGTCGACACATTCCCCCACTCCACTCCGTCATTAAACTGCGAGTGGTTTCAGACCAATACAGTTAAACGGGGAAAGCATGCCAGTCAAACATACTTAGATTTCTGCTCGAGTTCACAAGGTCCTGTGTTTTGCTTCCAGGGACGAACCTTTCCTCTCTTTTTCCTTCGGAAAAAAAGCAGTAAAACTGTGATGTGTGTGTGTGGGAAACACCTTAACGCTATCCCCTTTCCTAGACTGAAATACTTAACTTTCTTCATGAAAGTTACTAGGGTTTTGAAATGACCAACAATGCTTAGTTAGGAAGCGTTTGAAAAATAAGAACACAATTAAAAACAAAGGTATACATACCTGGTGGTAGTAATTCATCCAAATCTTCATCAGTTAGTGGCCTGTTTCGATCATCGATTTCCTTCTGCCAAGCGTACACTTGTAACTGTTCGGGGGTCATTGGGATTCCCGCCCCTGGTATTGTTATAGCAGCCGATCCGAAGTTTGGTGTCGCCATTGCCATAGCGCGTAGACCTGTTGGTGTGGTTCCAGAAGGAGTAAAAGCGCTGGCTGCATTAAAACCACCAGGAGTGCCACCTGGTGTTACTCCCCCCAAAGCACTTGAAGGTGTGAAGCCACCTGGAGTCTGAAAAATGCAATAAGAAAGTGAACACCTAATGAATTTGTGTGAAAGCATCGTTTGGTAGAAACGGCGGTTAGAGCACGCACATAAGCGATTGACTTATCAGTAAATTCGAGAGCAGATCTGTTGAGAAAGCAAACGGAAGACCGCTGAGCAGTGATAAAAACTAGTGTCAGCCATTATCTAAGTAAAGAAACCAGGTGCACATGATATATATATATATATATATATCAGAAACTGAGTACTTGCTGCGTCCAACTTACTGTCATTGAATAACAATCCAAAACTTTACTACCTAGCTTCAACACTAGTTTGACAAATGTGAAATACTTCCTAAGTCCTGGAAATGACGAAATCGACTTAGCAATTTTTGCTAAGTTGTTACACTTAGGTCTATAAAATAGGTGGTGCAACTCAACCCGATATACAACTATGCACTAGGCCCTAAGTCACACTTACTACTTGATGGTTTGTGATACTAACTAGTTGCCTAAGACGAAGTAGATGAGGTTAAGTTCAAAATCAATCGCTTAGAAGCCTTGCTTAGGTCAATAAACCACAGAACTTACACTGAAACATTTTGATTACGATAATCTGAAGTCCTACTTCAAATTTACCACGTTATCGTGGACTGACGGCTGGAAGCCTGTGAATGCATAACTTCTGGCAGTATTCTACAAGACAGCTCGTTTTATTGACTTTCCACATTTTGTCACGTGTTTAATTACTAACGTGACAGCAGGAGCGCTCAAGTACTTCCAACTTTAACGCACTACGTCTTAGTACTGATTGGCCATTGAGAACTTCCAAATTATTTGATGGACTAGTTAAGTACTGTTGAAAACAGAGTCAACGGCCTATTTCGCACATTCTGTGTAAAGGACTACATGCATCTAGTTTTTGGACCAAACGTATTTTGATAGATATGAGAAAGTGCATAAATATCTCACTACCTTATGCATTCGACCTTCAATGGGTTTTCGGTTCAAATTTAGAAATGTGGGAGATGAAAAATGCAGGGAATTACAGACACAAGACATAGTACATAATTATTACTTACTTGGGATGGTGTTAGTCCACCAGGAGTTGATCCCGCTTTTAACGGTGTTTCATCCCATCTCGATCTACGCTTAACTGAGATCGCAGCCGCTGCAGCAATACTTGACGGGGTGGAACCTGGCCATAAACCATTGAAGAGGGAGTGTCTTGTATAGATTCCACGCCTCCAGGCGTTCTATCGGCTCTAGGTGTTTCTGCCCAACCAGCACCGTGACCGGGAGTATCAGCACCGTATCTCTCAGTATGAGGAGTCTCATCCCACCGATTGCGTCTGGCGCTAGGTGTCCCCTAAATTTAAAAAAGATGCAGATGAGGAAGGAGAAATAACAAAGACACTCGAGAAATAAAATTTGCAGAACTCACACCAAAAGCCGATGCAGCAGTTTCACGACCTGGAGTTGCTGCAAAATGTGGAGTTTCCGACCACTGTCGAACGCTTTGTCCAGGAGTTGCGCCGGGATCTTTTGCTCTACCAGGAGTATCATCCCACTGCGACCGACTTCCTGGTGTCGAGGCTCCTCCAGGTGTAGCAGGTGGGCGTGAAGGAGTGAGTGCATCGTCGCCCCATCGCTTCGAAGGTGTCACTGGGGTGGCAGCAGGGGTTGGTGCGTCATTCTTGGTACCGTTGACATCCGTAGTAGGTTGATCCCATCTACGTCTTTTAGTAGGTACATCTGAGTCCATCCTTAATGTTCCGCTTTTGCCTCTTTCAGCTATTTCTGCTTGCAACGCCCGTTGCTCTTTACTGAGCTGCTGGTTAAGCATAATGTCTTTGTACGTTGACAGACGATGGTCCGGTGTTTGATCGCCTATAAACGCCAATTCATCAAATCATTTGTCAGTGGTGCGCAGAAATGAACATAGGTAAAAAAATAAAGATAACAAGTTAGGCATTAGAGAAGTTAGACATATGGAAATCATGTAAACATAAAAATAACGCACGTGATCAGTGTGTCCCGGACCATTGTCTTCGAACCAAGGAGCTGCTTCACAGTTGGATGATGCGAAAAAGCTCTGAAAGAGTGTGGAGTGCGCAGAACGTTTAAGAACTGTACATAATCACCTAAACATATGCACTTACCGAACGCCCTAACCTTACACAAAAAACAAGCCCCGCTGGACACCATATTGCTATACAAAAAGGAAAAATTTGTTCTTAGATGCAGTATAAACTTCAAATAAATGCTTATAAACTAAAGAAAGAATGCAGACTAACATACCATCGGCAAAAGGGTCAACTCTTGCTGGAGAAATCATTAGTAATCGACGGCGCGAGCGATATTCATCCTCTCGGTCTGCAATTGTTGGACGGCGAATTTCACCTGAAGAAATAAACCAAAATAATAATGAAGGTCCTACCATTTTCGGTGGTCATCCTGCAACAAACTCAAAAACAGAGCGGTGACGGGGATTTTGTACCCTTTTAAACGCAGTATTAGAGCCGTTCTATATCCAATTTCCGATGAACGTTTCTGATTATGTGCAGTACTGAATGGGTCACTAGAGCCATAAAAAACAGATTTAGTCAACATTTAAAGCTGTTTCCAACCGTATGACTAGAACGATAGGATTTCTCAAAACTGCATTCAGACCTTGGACAGTTTGTTTTTTGAGTAATGGATTAAATAGTTCGAATGGTTGGTGATGCAATAGATGCTTTCATTTAACTGGTTTACACGTCTAGAATCCGTGAATTACTACTTCTTATCGTCTTTAACCTGTGTACGAGTAAAGATAAGGCAAAATGAGGCGGTTAAAATTTGAAAATTTAGTTTCTTCTGAACGGATCCCACTCACATATCAAATAAGTATCTAACCAGCATTTAAAGGCTTCAGACGAAATAGCCTGAATCATTCATGCAGGCAAAGCACTTCAAGGTTTAACCTGCTATCTTCTAGGGACAGTTTCTGCATGTGTCCTGTAAGATGGGCGTTACAACTAACATTCAGTAAGTAACGAAGTGGGTGTCCAGGGGTGCTCGAGATGCTGTGAGCCATTATCGAGTGTCCTCTTAGTCTTCTGTATTCCAGGCGATTCAGGTTAAGCGCAACCAGTCGATTGCCTCTTGGTGCGTTCCCAGCCTAATTTTTCCCCGCAGAGAACAGAAAGGACGGTATACCAGAGCTCCAGGTGAGGCTGCTTGGAGCTGTTGGAAATTTGACGAAAACACCTACGATCAAGTTGCCTGAAAGTTCGTCTGAGGGTTACTAACGACATGTGTCCGCGAAATGCGTTTCTGTCACTGTTGACATGGGGTTTTAAGTCTGGAGAGACTAAAACACTCATATCCTTCTCTGCTATCGATGCTTCAAGTTGGATGCCATTGGGGCTATATACATGACATGCACCAAGTTTTAAGTGCGACAGTTTGCATTTTCAGGATTAAGTGCTAGCCAATTATTGCCTGCCGAATTTTGTAACTGGGTTAAATCGTCCTGCGGAAACAACTGTCTTCCTCACTTCCGATTCCTCTCCATAGTTTCACGTCATCAGTAAAAAGAGGACTTCCGGAGAAACCTATGGAGCAAGTAATCTACGTACATTTGAACAGAAAGAAGCCCTGGTACCGGACCCTTGGAGTAATATGGTTCAAAATTTGGGCTTACATATCTTAAGAAATTGCAACGAAGAAGTTGTATTGGTCTCAACAAATATGTCTTAAGCTGTCTCATCTCGCCTAAAATGTGTGTATGCCGGGAGCCTTTATAACATGCAAAATTGGTGAGTTTCAAGTGATTGTACTACCTGGGTGGTAAGGCGTTTTCAGATAGTGGACTACTTTTTCGTCTCCTAGCGCAATTTTACTTGCAAAGAAATTAAATATCATGGCATGTTAATTCTAAGGTCATGAATATGACCTTTCACTTCATACTATTACTTTCAAGCCATATGTCACATAGGTATCAATAATCAACCCCTTCTCTCTGTCCAATTCATTATTAAATAAATAAATAATAAATAAATATTCTATTCTCGGATGAAGAATTTGATATGAGAGAATCCAGTTTACAGATTTCATCAAATTGATAATGGTGGAGAAATCTATATCAAGTGAGCTGTCCTGAATGAGACAGAAGGGAAGACATCAACGTCTATCATGATATCAAAAACATCTGCAGGCTATGAAACGACCAAGAAAGTATCACTTTACAGTACACACAGTGTTTATGAGTTTCGGTCATTTCCATTCGCCATTTTTTCTACAGTAAAGTGGTGTCAAAGTCGCACAATATTCGGTGTTTGTGTTACATGTGACCAAGATGCTAAACCTGGCGATATAGTCCCGTATTTCGTCAGATGAAGGTCTATTTTAACGCTGACTCACATGTCTATTTTCGAAGTTGTTGCCTAGTGTGAGATACTTACCAATGGATGATTGAGTCAATAGTGTACGCCCAGTCATAACTGAGAGAAGGATGAAAATATCTTTGTAACCGTCAACTTTATTGAGCACAGTACAAAAATATCTAAGCGTCAAAGCAAAACGATGAGTAGATGATGATAACTGACCAGGAAGCACGATGGCAGCAAGATAAACTCGAACTACTCTTTCCTGTACAGAGGTATCTGTATAAAACCTACGGCTTTTGTACTTGTGATGGTTTTGAATTCAAAACGGAACGAAAGTGATGACAAACTGACGAAAGACAAGGATGCGGTCGCTAAAAGAACAAATCCATGTCTACTACTTCATCTCACTCTTCACCACCATATTGTTTCCGTAACCCTAATATGATGACGCTCAACGGACAACACCATGTCATTCCTCCCCATGACTACATAAGGCGTGTTTATCACTATGGCTAAACATGGGTTTTACTTAAATGTTTATAACTTCATTTAACTTTGTATATTAGTTTTCTGCATATGGGCGAATACCTGGTTCCGAATCGTCTATTTTCTCTGTTTCGTAGCGATATCTCAGTATAACAAGAATGTGTAAGTAATGCCTACGAGCTGCGTAAGCGCTGCAGGTCGATGCATTCATCACGATTGCGGAAATAAGGCTGAAAAGCGAAAGTTAAGCGGACTCTTATGGGCTTACAGCATAGTTTACGCACCTAAAGCATAATTTAGGCCTGCATGCTTAAATGCAGCTTAATTTACGGATAATCCCTGCACTACCCACATTATTTACGGACGACTTCAGCCTTATTTCCTCCCTCCCAACGGCTTAATTCTGTGTTATTTACGCGCTACTTGCCTTATCTACGGACAAACCTTGCCTTATTACAGGCTTCCGGACTCGTTTACAGGATTTACTGACTGGGGAGAAACCACGCGGTATGGTGTCATCTATACATTTGTTGTGATTAAATATTTATAAATTTTAAAGGTAATCATTCATTGTGTTTGTCAATATCGCGGACATTCTGTGGGAGAAAATAAGATGTTCACAGTGCACATGAAAGTCGTGATATGGTTGTCAGGGAAAATTAAAATTCCAGAAGCTAGCAGACCCATTCCGGTTGGTCATGCGACGCGCTCAAAGGAGACCGTATGCAGAACAGCGTCACTAGACATATAAAGTCTTTTTTCCTTAAACGCCTAACCACTTTATCCTGGATGTCATAGCAGTGAGACTTTGTAGACACATCCATTGTACCTTCATACTCCCTTTGACTGAGTAGGGGTCCCGGGAACTAGGAGGTTATAACGGCTTCATGGAGCATGGCGATGAAGGCGAGTCTTACATTTCATAATTTTTTCAGATATTATGCTCCGAGATCCCAGCCTCTCGTGAGGTCCCTAGCATGGTAAACTGCATACTAAGACCTGGTTGCAATAGGGCATTCATCACTACCTTTGGAGATGACCGATTCATCTTGTGCCTTGGTCATCACCTTTGCTATCTGCGAATTTCAGTTTTAATAATTGTGGCAAATAAATATTCCTCGGTGTTCAGCTTTCGGTGACGCCGCCAGAAAATCCAGCCGTTCCTCCATAACACCGAGAGGCGAGCGTGAAAGTCATCGACGGAAATGACACTGGAACGTCTGCCAGACCAGTCACGGTTTGCATTTGTTCGTTGAAACGTATTGGCCCATTTCCGCATTCTGATGCTCATTCCTACCTACTGATATATATCACTAGGTTCACGCACTGGCCAGAAGCCATCCCACTACCACATATTACCGCTCAAACAGCCAGTCAAGTATTTGTCGGAAGATAGTTTTCCTGGTTTTTGTACCTTTTTACTGAAACAACTGACCGAGGACAACAATTTGAATCTGCTACCTTCAAGAGGCTGATTAATCTGTCGGGGTGCAAGAGGCATTCACACCGATGCACATCCTGCAGCTCCCGGTAGTTTGTAGAACGCCTTCATTGACATTTTAAAGCTTCACCAATTGCAGCTATCAACGTGAAATGTGCTGAGTCTCCGCCACTGGCTTTTCTCAGCGTTTGACTCACACTTAGGACGGATATACAGTGTGCTAATGTATAGTTGGGTTGTGGAGGTAATCTATGTCCACTCGGTAAACTCGTTGCTCCAGATCGTAGTGGCCCGGGTCTCACCGACATCTGTGGTTGGGCTTTACATGCATCGCTCACAACCCCCATCCACATGAATACAGTGTGGATGGGTAGAGTTCGATAACTAACTTCAAGATTGTGCACACTTATTTATGCTTTGGAACGCTTTCCGAAAACCCTTAAAATTACCCCACGACAGATCCTTCACGTTTGTCAGCAGAAAGAAGGGGTCCGTCGTCCACGGGGTATGACGGCAGGACACTGCAAGTACGAACTCCTAAGGACAGCTTAAGCTGTTGACGAACAAACCCTCCATAGATTGGCAATGTCAGCGCAACCACTGCTTCAGGAACCCAGGAAAAGCCTCATGCTTTAAAAAGATAGCTGCCCCATCAGAAAAGAAATTGCTAGTGAGAAAGTGCCGTCTACGCTTGTCGGCTGACATGTCCGCTGACCTAAATGTCTAGCGGACTTCACAACTTAACCGTACAAATTTTCGAGGCCTGGACAAGCCTGGTATATGCTAATACACCTTTACTCCCCTTTTTGCTTACTTGGGATTGTTAAAAATTATCACGAAACCGCCTCAGAAAAATTATCAAAGTGACAAGATCAGCTTGGATATCAGTCGTTATGATAATCTGTGCATCACTTCAGATTTGTGCTTGTCCTGCGGATCTGCTCTTATCCTATTCACCTTGTTATCATCATTTCAGCCCAGTAGAAACCCGTGTTATCGGAGAGAAGCTAGATACGGGAGGTACCGATCAGTCTCCTGCCCCCAAACCGATTCCCCATCATAAATTTCCCCCTGTAGCTTAAGGTTCGCTAAGGAAACGTGGACAGAAGCTACGAGTAATCTACTGTCATTACGAGAAGGATCGCACCCGAACCTA